GAGGTTCTTTGCAGAGGGTGGAGTTGAAGGAGACGTTGAATGACATTACAGCATGATTGGAGTTGCCAAGAGGGCAGAGCTGCATGTTGCTACAGGACATAGGGATGGAGATAAAACATAGATCAAGAAGAGAAGCCTTACCGTCCAGGTTGTAGGAAAAATGTGTGGGGAAGTCAAATATTTGCATGAAAGATTGAGAAATTGAAAAATTAAGGTTTTGTATGCCTGCAAGGTCAGTAGTAGCATTTTTAAGCCACTTGGTATGATGGGCATTAAAATCACCAAACACAAATATGTGAGCAAACGGATGGAGAGAGAGAGAGAGAGCCTTGTCAATGCTGTCAGAAATGCATTAGATTACCACAGTCTTGGAAGGATGGAGAGCGATAAAAGAAGAAGAGGTAGCTTACGGCATTGAGAAGAGATAGCTGGAGACACATGTACAAATGGTCTGGAGATTCAAGAGACAGCTCTCTAGCCAGCGGGAGATGGTCCTTGACTTCAAGGCCATGCATGTGGGTTTGAGAGTCTTTTCTAAGGAGAGGAAGGTAGCCGCGGATTGAGAGATCAGAGAAGGGAGTAGACGAATCAAGGTTGGTCTCACAGAGAGCCAGTATATACAGGTAGTTCACAATGAGGAAAGATTCCACACTGCAGAAATTGGTTCTAATGCCATAGATGTTAGAAAAGGAAATGTTAAAGGGTTTAGGTGATTTTTTTAAGGGCTGGTTTAGGTTTTCTTTTTGGATTGGCGTTAGTTATCATGATGTGTAATTACGGTAGTAAAAATGAGATGACCTGAAGTAGAAGATCCAGACGGTTATCGACTGTGACATGGGCAGAGAGAAGTTGGTGCAGTCTGCAATAATTTGGCCTCAGGGTTGCCCACTGGAGGTGAATCCAGAGACACCTTTCCATGTGTGACATAGCACTACAGACACCCCAGTATTATACAACTGTTGATCAGAGTGGTTACTCAAGATGCTACACAAGAGTTAGGGCTCCTAACTACCAGTCGAAAACAGCAACCAGAAAAAAGAATGAAGAGGCATTGCCACAGACTGCACACATCACGGGAGAAACATGGCAGCACTAGTACAGAGGCCAGAGAGAAAGAGAGGGAGAGTTCCGGGAACCCCTTCCTAAACAAGAAACAAGGTAAGAGCCTCTACTCTTGTCCAAGAGAAGGGAGAGGAGTATTGACCAGACGGTAGGATTTAACCAAAAATTACTGATTTTTAAATAAATCTTCCATTAATTTTAAGAGCATTATTACCAAATACAGAAACATTACATATACAATGAAAATTGATTTAAAAACACACACACACACACACACATATATATATATATAATAGTACCTGCTATAGAGCAACACTATTAATAGTGTGATGCATTCAATCTTCACTGGGGGTTCCCACTATTATAGTAATCCTATGCTTAGTAAGTAACTACAAAACACAAGAGTATCTGATATAGTGATGACTGACGTTGTTATTTATAACTTGTGTGTTCATTCTTCTTTAAATATGTTCTTTGAATTTGACCTTGTGCAAAACTTGATTTAATCCAAAGATTATCTAATAGATAATGCTGCAGAGTGAAGATTAGGAAGTTAATTCTACAACTATTGCTTGTGATGTTGATCCTCATTAAAAACTCATTTATAATGGGCTTGTACCAGACTATGCCAAACAATAAAATAATTTGATCCTTTCTTGTTGAACAATGTTTTGCAAGCTACTTTCACAGACCAGAATATTGAGTTTTGATCCTTCTTATTAAAGGGCACATTATTGTGGCCAGGCTAAGCTCAGTAAATATCTACATAATGTAAGGATTTATGATTATTTAGCATTAAGATTCAATGATATCTTTCACCAGTTAAATTTTGATATTTTAAAATTTTGCTTGACACATTTTTATTAATCTGAAAAGTGCAGATACTGCATTTTAGTGAAAAATGAAGCTTTAGTATTTATTGAAATAATTAGAAATAGTTGTTTTGTCTCATTTATTTCTCTATTGTACTTCCTTACTGAATAATCAATCTATAAAACAAGTTAAAAATTAATATGCAAAGCTTAAAATTGTTTGAAGATTATATTATTTTATTTGAATTATTTATTATCCAATATAAAAGCATAAGTTATATGTAAATAATGCAGTTGATCAGATAACAAGACATAATAGAGTTTCATTTGTAGCCAATGGGAGGCTCAAATATCAAGGCTTAAACCAAAGTTTGACAAGAAACAAAGGAAATGAATATGTTCATTGCTATTAGATTGATCCATATTTTATAAAGGCTAGCATTAAGAGGTCTGTTCAGCAGAGATGAAGAAAGGATTAGTGGAGTAACTGGTTGCTGAACTGAAAAGAGACAGAATTTAAGGAATGATGACTCAAGTGTTATTGGTTGCAATAATGATAAGGATCAACTGCTTGTGATAAGCCAGAATTAGTTGATCTTGAAAGCAAACGAAGCATGGAAAAATCAGACAAGAGCATTTTTCATGGATCAGATGCTAAAAGTAATGGGAGATAATGTGAGTAAGCATTCAATAATAATGAAAACACCTGGTTGAGCCAGGCAGTAGGCATGCAAACCAAGTCTGAGTTGATTGGGACAAACAATCCCAGACAATTCCATATGGAATAGAAATGGCATTCTCTTATGTAGTATGAACTTTGTTTTTTATACATCAGTTGATTGTATGGTCAGATGCACATGAATTGAGAATTATTTCACGGCAGTCAATTATTTATATTTTGTAGATGTATAAAATATAAAAAAAACAAATAAACTCACAGAACAGAGTCTTATTGATGTACACATTTTTATATAAGATTTGTTTTATCCATATGCATACCTATATGAACATATATACAGAAGCACACATTAATACCCACACACATATGTACAAGTAGGAATATTTGTTAGTGCTGAATGAATCATCAATCAATTTTTAGTTACGTCTTACTATATACTAGCAGCATGGCATGGCGTTGCCTGTGCTTGATTCAAAAATCGTACGACGCATACAGCAATTGATATCACTTGACTTAAAATATTTTTGCCCTTCCTTGCCTTTAAAGGAGTGCCCTTTGCCGTGCTGATGTTGCTACATGCCTTACTTCTTGCCTCTCTCACACTGCAAATTTTTTCTAAGCTCTATTCTAAACATTAAATCTGTTACAAGAAAAGAACTAAACAAAATGAACACAAAATGATCAGATTTAAAAAAAGGACTCGTAACTGGAAAAAACGAATGAAAAAAGAATGTTAATAACAAATACCAGTTCTACAGAATCAGAATCAATGTTGATTTTAAGCAAGCAAATGAGCCAATTTGGAGTAAAGTGCCATGCAGATTTAAATTTTTCCCACTTGTGACGAATGCATCGATTTTTTTGCATGCTAGCATGCTAGTTAACATTCGTGTCAGTCAGCTGTTGGCCAATAGAATCTTCCTGCCTATTCGTGGCAGCCAGCTATTGGCTCTCACTCTGGCCAGTACAAAATGGCCGCAAACTACATGAAAACTGCTGTAGAAGCATGAAAAAATCGATTATTTCCACTATCAATGGGAGTTGGGAAATGCAAGGTCAGTCTTGGCCTTCCTGCTAACTTGGAGCATGTGCATGTAAATTTTGGTGCAAATCCGTTGAAAATTGTGGCCATGCATTCATTACACACACATCCTGCCTTTTATAGATAGAGATTTGTATTATTGACTAAGTTCCACTTTTTTTCCATCTTTCAACCTAATTTTGTGCAATATCTATAGTTATTGTAAATAATTACTATATTCTTTTCTGTATTGCATTTTAGATACATATCATGAAATAAAACAAAGAAACATTGACTGGAATTTATTAAACTACAAAATATCAGATCAAATTAAATTAGGTTACAAAAACATTAAGATGAAAAATATTTTGTCATCAAGGGTTCTGACCTTTTATAAAGTTTTTAACAAAAATTAATTATACTAATAATTATATTTTTAAACAATTAGTAATTATATCTGCTTAATGACAATTTATATTTTACAAGTTCATTTGTATATAAGATTGATGCAAAAGTTTTCAACATTTTTTGACAAAATGATTTATTCATATAAATTCATGGCATTATTATTCAGTTAACAGAATTTTTAGGGAAATTTTGTTTTTTCATTGTAAAAGAATGATTCAAATTTTGATTTCACTAAAAGATTGCTCTAACATTGTGTTAACAAGGCTGGGAATTTTTCAATCACTCCCAAGAAACAAAAGTTGTAATAGTTTAATATTCTATTGACAGTAAGAAAAACTAATTTTATATTTCCAAATATTTTTTGCATTTTTTAGTGCTTCTAATTAAAAAGCAAGGGTTATGTTTTAATAATGAATTATAAAAAAAGTTCAATAATAATTTTTTAGGATATTTTTTCAGGTTTGCAACTATTTTTAATATAAATAGATTAATTTTTTTTTCTTATTTAAGTGAGATGAAATTATAACTTGAAGGTTTTTATTTCTGAAAAAACTAAACTCACAATTTTTCTCTTAATTCTACAATGTTTTAGATGATTGATTCTGCAGCCATCTTCAGGTCAAAAACAAAAAGCAAAAATCAGTAATTTGAGAAATAAAGACAAATTTTCAATTTGCTATTTCAAGTTATTGTTTACTATTTAGATTTTAAATATTTCAGTAATGAGAAGATAAATGAAATGTAAAGCTGAGAACTAACTGTTAATAGACTGTACTATTTTATGAAATTTATTTGAAAGGCATTCAGTGTGTGGGGTGGATGCATGACTTTGACAAAGAGAATTGGCAATTGACAGTGAGAGAATAAAAAAATCTGGAGAGTCCATGAAGCATCCAGGAAGTATCCAGCTATTTTGCATATCGTCCATGTCTATTCTTCATATCTCATGTCCAGCTATTTTGCATATCGTCCATGTCTATTCTTCATATCTCATGTCCAGCTATTTTGCATATCCTCCATGTCTATTCTTCATATCTCATGTCCATGTCTATTCTTCATATCCATGTCCAGCCATCCATGTCTATTCTTCATATCTCATGTCCAGCTATTTTGCATATCCTCCATGTCTATTCTTCATATCTCATGTCCAGCTATTTTGCATATCCTCCATGTCTATTCTTCATATCTCATGTCCAGCTATTTTGCATATCCTCCATGTCTATTCTTCATATCTCATGTCCAGCTATTTTGCATATCGTCCATGTCTATTCTTCATATCTCATGTCCAGCTATTTTGCATATCGTCCATGTCTATTCTTCATATCTCATGTCCAGCTATTTTGCATATCCTCCATGTCTATTCTTCATATCTCATGTCCAGCTATTTTGCATATCCTCCATGTCTATTCTTCATATCTCATGTCCAGCTATTTTGCATATCCTCCATGTCTATTCTTCATATCTCATGTCCAGCTATTTTGCATATCCTCCATGTCTATTCTTCATATCTCATGTCCAGCTATTTTGCATATCCTCCATGTCTATTCTTCATATCTCATGTCCAGCTATTTTGCATATCCTCCATGTCTATTCTTCATATCTCATGTCCAGCTATTTTTGCATATCCTCCATGTCTATTCTTCATATCTCATGTCCCTATTTTGCATATCGTCCATGTCTATTCTTCATATCTCATGTCCAGCTATTTTGCATATCGTCCATGTCTATTCTTCATATCTCATGTCCAGCTATTTTGCATATCCTCCATGTCTATTCTTCATATCTCATGTCCAGCTATTTTGCATATCGTCCATGTCTATTCTTCATATCTCATGTCCAGCTATTTTGCATATCGTCCATGTCTATTCTTCATATCTCATGTCCAGCTATTTTGCATATCGTCCATGTCTATTCTTCATATCTCATGTCCAGCTATTTTGCATATCGTCCATGTCTATTCTTCATATCTCATGTCCAGCTATTTTGCATATCCTCCATGTCTATTCTTCATATCTCATGTCCAGCTATTTTGCATATCCTCCATGTCTATTCTTCATATCTCATGTCCAGCTATTTTGCATATCGTCCATGTCATTCTTCATATTCATGTCCAGCTATTTTGCATATCCTCCATGTCTATTCTTCATATCTCATGTCCAGCTATTTTGCATATCCTCCATGTCTATTCTTCATATCTCATGTCCAGCTATTTTGCATATCCTCCATGTCTATTCTTCATATCTCATGTCCAGCTATTTTGCATATCCTCCATGTCTATTCTTTCATATCTCATGTCCAGCTATTTTGCATATCGTCCATGTCTATTCTTCATATCTCATGTCCAGCTATTTTGCATATCCTCCATGTCTATTCTTCATATCTCATGTCCAGCTATTTTGCATATCCTCCATGTCTATTCTTCATATCTCATGTCCAGCTATTTTGCATATCCTCCATGTCTATTCTTCATATCTCATGTCCAGCTATTTTGCATATCCTCCATGTCTATTCTTCATATCTCATGTCTATTTGCATATCCATGCTCTATTCTTCATATCTCATGTCCAGCTATTTTGCATATCCTCCATGTCTATTCTTCATATCTCATGTCCAGCTATTTTGCATATCCTCCATGTCTATTCTTCATATCTCATGTCCAGCTATTTTGCATATCCTCCATGTCTATTCTTCATATCTCATGCAAGACTTTTTAGCAAAATGTCAGATCATCCAGATCTGTTAATTCTCTTACAGTCAGAGATTGGCTTCCTAAAACTTCTGACATTTCCCAAAACTAAAATCCTTATTGAAATGGAGATTTCAAACCATAGATGAAGTAAAGGAAAATGGGGCAAGGCAGCTGATGGCAATCCCTAAAGAGGAATTTACAGACTGTTTTGAATAGTGGAAGTAGCACTGAGATAAGTGTGTAAGTCTCAAAGGGAGCACTTTGAAGAGATTTAAAAGATGCATTTACCATCAGTAAGGTACTTTTTGATAATATTAGGTAACTGAATCACTTCTGGAAAGACATTGTGTGTGTGTTTAAATAACTTGGCTGTGACAACAGTAAAATAAAAAGTGAATCAGTCTTTATAATGTGATATGCAGAAAATAGTGAAAATATAAATTACACTGTCCTGTGTTAAAATTTTTTTCCAAAGGTCAAAGTTTTATCAAGTGATATATGATTGCATTTTTATGCTGAATTCAAAAATACCATTCATTGTGTTTGGTCAGGTCTAGTTTTTAAGATGTGCTTGAATATTTCACTACAAGTTGTACAGAATAATAACACCTATTCAAAAGCCTGTGAATTCTACTTGTCATAGCTGATCATGGGTACCTGATGTTTAGTATAGCATATAATGTTGTATGTGTACCTAACTACAGTGTACCACCCTACTTGCTAACACTCACATACCTAGAGGGGTGGGGTTTATTCCTCAGTTTAAAATGATTTTAATATACTGTGTCGAGTGTCATCAATGAGCTGAGTACTGATTTAATTTTTTTCTTTTCAACTTAACATTTGTATTCCTGTAAGAATGGATCACAAGTGTAAGAATAATCCTGACAGATTCTGTTACATCTGTGGTAATGTGGTTCACTCCCCACATTTGCTGTAAAACATGTGTGGAGAACTTAGGGGATTGGAGGAATGGTAAAAGGAAGAGTATGCCATTTGCCATTCCAATGGTCTGCGGGGAAGGAAACGATCACATTACAAACAGCTATTTCTGCATGATAAATCTAAAAGGAATAAATCACAAGAACAAGCACCATGTCCAATACCCAGATGTTCCTTCTGCCATAAGACCAATCCCTCATGGCCCAGACCTTCCTGTTCCTGAGCCAGATGGTAACATGGAATATAGTTCTGATTCCAAACATAGTGACTTGACTGTTGTAGCTGGGGATGATGCATACAAGCCAGAAGAGGATGACCAACCAGCACCCTTGACACAAGCAGAAAGGACCTGACACAAGACCTGAACCTTTCAAAGGAGTCTGCTTAGCTGCTGGATTCACGTCTCAAAGAGAAACATCTGTTGGCACAAGGAACAATGTTCTACTGGTATTGAGACTGTGAGAGAGAATAAAGACAGTTTTTCATGTTCCAGGATAAGTCATCATTGGTTTATTGCAACAACATTGCTGGATTGATCATAGAGTATGATGCTATGGAATGGAGACTTTTTATCAACTCATCCAGCAGAAGTCTCAAAGCAGTTCGTATACATAATAGGAATAGTTTTTCATCTATCCCTATTGTGCATTCAGTACAAATGAAAGAAACTCACAACAGCATAGATCATTTGTTGTCTGTTAACCAGGAGTGCAAATGGTTGATCTGTGGAGATCTTAAGGTGGTTGGACTGGTCCTAAGGTTCCAAGGTGGGTACACAAAGTATCCTTGTTTTCTGTGATCTGGGTCAGCCAAGCTGACAACCAACATTATGTCAAACAAGAGTGGCCATTAAGACAAGGGTTAAAAACTGGCTCAAATATCATTCAGTCTTACACTTTTGTTGAACCAAACAAAATAGTGCTTCCACCCTTACAAGTTAGGAGTAATGAAGAATTTTGTGAAGGCAATGGACAGGGAAGGCAGCAGGTTTGCTTTCCTCCAGAAGTTCCCATGAATAAGCATGGAGAAATTCAAGGCTGGTATATTTGACAGCCCTCAAACAAGAGAACTCATTAAGGACCCAATGTTTGGTGAAGCACTGAGTGAAGCTGAACTGTCCACCTGGCAGTCACTTGTTAGTAGTTACAAACTTCCTGGGAAAACCACTAAAGTGTGGAATACAAGAAGAAAATGGAAGAGTTACTGAAGAGTTTCCAGCAACTTGGGGCATGGATATCAGTCAAACTGCACTTTCTGTGGTTACACTTGGACTATTTTCCAAAGAACTGTGGAGATTTGAGTGAAGAGCTGGGTGAGCATTTTCACCAAGACATTTGCATTATGGAAGAGTGCTACCAAGGCTGGTGGGATGTAAACTTTCTCACTGACTACTGCTGGTGCTTGAAATGGGATGTAGTGGCTGCTAAGCAGAGGATAAAGTCCCTGAAAATCATCCATGAATAGCTTCTTTTCTGTATTTTTCAGTTTACTATGGCGCAATGTGAGCTTTCTGTAAATATATCAGCCCCAAATTTTAGCATTAGTTTAAATTCAACAAGAAAATAGAGTTATAATACAGTTCTATACATTTCAGGTAAGAGTTTGTATCTTAAAATTTTGATCTGATTAGAAAAAATGAGTATGATTTTTGGATTCAGTGTAAAAAAACTGCCTTAAAATCAGTTATTATATATTTGACCTTGAAAACATCACAGGTCATTATTATTAATCAAGGTCAAAGGCTCTCAAAAAAAATTCTAAAATATGGCAATTTTATCTTTCATTTATAAAAATGGTACATGTTTAATGGAAAACAAACTGATTTTCCAAATTAGCATAAAAATTTATATTATAAAAAAATGTAAAATTATATAAAAATAATTAAAGAGTAGATAAAAAATAATACAATATTACAACACTTTCTTTTGAGGGGAGTGGTTTAAAAAATATTTATTAATAGAAGAAAGTTATTAACACATATTCTTTAATTAAAAACTGCTATAATGAAGCATGACAGTAAAAAATGTCTATAATAAATTTTGATATGTTAGAGTATATATGAGATTTGATTTATGTTGTAAAAATACCCTTAAAATGAAGTCTGATGGTTTATGAAAAAGATACATGTATAAAATTTAGTTTTCAAATTTGTAAAAAGTGAGGTTCAAGTTTTATGGTTTCAAAATGTGTCTAAATTCCAAAAAGGCATGGTTTAAGAGATACATTTGATTTTTTTAACCAATAGGGAAAATAAGTTACAATCAGATGGTATAAAATTTCTGATTCAACAGCCAATGTGTGGTTATTTAAGAAGTTTGGCTTGTCAGTAGACAGATTGGAGGGGACTTAGCTATCACAGGTGAAGGATGGCAGCTGCTAAGTGGCAGAAGAGATTGGCTTTCACAGGCAAAAGTTGGTGGCAACTGCTAGTTGAATAAAAGACTGAAGGTTTTTGGCATTCACAATGTCAACTACTACTATGACAATGAAAAGGAAGAACCACAAAGAAAAACTAAAATCTGACCTTCATCACAAGCAATGATGAAAAGGAAGTAACAGAAGAAGAAAAAAAAGAAGCTGAAAGAAAAGAAAGTAGAAAGAAATTTAGAGATATTATTACAATTATCTTTCTAAAGTTGTCTGTGAAAGTTTAGCAAAAAATTAGAGGTATTAACCCTTATTTTAAACTTTTATGAAAATAACAAATTTATCTCAGTTTGTAAAACTGAATCATTGTCTAAGCAAACCGGAAACCCAGCGATGCCTGCGAATTGTCAACCTTCTCAAATCCTTTCAACAGGTGAATGAATTGAAGTATATGAAAATTTTATTGATAATAATTATGATTGTTTTTATGAGCCTAACAGAATTGTAATGAGAATTTATTATCTTGTCTTAGGTACACAAAGGAAAATTTTATGCAAGTTTTTTGTAAATTTTGTTTTCTGTGCTTTTATTATTTTTATGTCATTTAATAAATGTAAATTTCTTTCAAATTTCACATTGGAGTAAGAGATTGGATGTTCTCTCTCCTCTCTCTCTCTCTCTCAGAAAACCCCTTAATTACTGATTACATATTCATTAAACAAAAAGCTTCATACAGCTTTGTGGTAATTATCATCACCATCATATATACAAATCATGCGACAAGCATTCATTGGTTAATCTCCTCAAAACTAGCTCGCTGATTGGTCAATTCCGGCCAATCAAATATCCTGCACACAAGGAATGAAATTTCCCACTCACTAATGCTTGAGCCAGTCACGTGATACACCACCTTATATAAACAAAACACGTGTAAGCTCTCTCTCTTTGTTTTCTCATTCATCTTATTCCTTGCTGCCAAAATGTAATCTTCAAGAACTCCTGTCTTGACCATGCAGTCAGACATTAAAGAACATTACCATTTCACACGAGTATGAACCCTTAACTCTTCTGAACTCTTATCAACTTTACCAATTCACTTTTCCTAACATGCAACAGGAACTTTATTGTTCTAAAACTTCAATTTAATAATTACTTCATGTTTATGAGCTCCGGTACAAATATTTCCAAATCTAAGCGACATAACTCATTCAAACCTTCAGTTTATATGCACGTACATCAACACTAATAAATTCAATTATGGTTTAAACCATTACGTTATGTCTTGTATTTTATACTATGTGCTATTTTACATCAAATATAAATTGCATTGTGACCACTACATGTTTGGTAACCTCCAGCGTCTTTGCTTGTCCTTTTCCATGTCATTCCCAGTCAAAGATAAATAATTGTGGTGATGCGCGCTACAGCTTTCTTATTTGTATATAAAATATTTAGGATGTGAGTACCAGCAATTTTCAGCTTGTTTAAAAAAAAACATCTGTTAAAATATAAGGATAAGATGAGATTACAAATGGTTATTTTTCAAGTAATTTCAATATGGGATACTTAAGTGCTACATAATTCTCGTTTTATGAAAAAAATTTGAGTATCATCAAATATCTCTATTACATATCTTGACTGACTTATTTTTTATGCAGCACTATCTTTATTGTCAGATGCCTTTTTCTAGCAAAACTGAAAATTACAGATGGAATCCTGAACAAAGATTGAAAATTTTGAAATGGAATAGTTGACTATTCTCCTCAATGAATATACAAATTTAGTTTATTCTTATTTTCTATTTTATTTATCAGGAATTATAAGAAAACAAGACAATTGGTTAAGTCATAGATTTATTGATTTTAATTCCGATAAACCAAACATCTTCAAATTTTAAGCTTAATTGTTTCAAAAACCAATTTTCAGTAACATTTAATTTTTTTTATAACTGTATAAAGATTTCAACAAATTCACCTTCAAGCAGTTTTTGATACAGATCTACTCTGTCAGGAATGATTTTATAGTTCAGTATTTATCATGAAATTAAATTGATTTTCACTTTAAGAATTTTTCAACAAGATTTTAAAAATTATTTTCCAAGTAATTTTTCTTTGATGTTTTCTAAATGCCATAATCTTGATTATTTTTTGGCTTGTCTTTTCATCTGCAGTGAATATAAAATCTACACTAGTAGAGATCATTTGGAAAAAGCATGTTGTAAAACTACTAATATGGAGAATATTTCAATGTACTTATGTCCATGATTTTCTTATTATTGTCTATTGTTAACTTATGTTATGTAAAAGATAAAAAGTCTGTATACAATCTTTACCAATACCCTAGAAGTATTTTTGCAATTTAGATCAAAATCTTGGCTTAAATATTTTAATTAGATTGATGCTTTTCATGTTGACCATTATTCTTGCAGTCAGATATAGTTTTTAATGTATGCTATATTTTTGGAAGAAAAAAGATTAATATCAGAGACAGCGTATATGTAAATATAAGTAATGTAAACATAAGTATCAACAATGGATGTCAACAGTCTTTCTTGCTTAAAAACAATCACCAGGACATGTAGGTGGATGGGTAGCTCAACTATTTATATATGTTTGTCCCTGGGGGTGATAATGTAGGAAGGTTGGTTATTTACAGTGGTGTTATTCCTAAGGTTATTGAATAGGACTAATTATAGGTAGGGAAATGGTTACTTCCAGTTCGTTGTATTTTCACCATGGTCATTGTGTAGGGTTTATTATCTTATTCATTAAGGGATGGGTTATAAATTTTATGCTTAAGTCATTCAATGATGGATATTAAGTTTAGAATATGCATTTAATCACTTTTATCTTTTAAGTAAAGTTTACATTTTTTTAGAGTTTGTTGTGGGCTGGTGCTGTTTTCTTTATATTCAATGTTATTTCTAGTGTGTTTTTGTTTTTAAGGTCCCAAATATATCTAGGGAGGGTTGTGTTGTTTACATATT